CGTATTTAACCTGGATTTGAGTAGGTAAATTAGATAATTTGCCAATTTTTCTCCTAAAGTAAGATAGTTAGATAATATGCACTTGAAATAAGACAATGCAATTTTCTTGTCTTATTTTAAATCTAAATAGTCTTGTTCCATTGGCAAAATGTCTCTTTTGTCTCCTCAATTCAAGAAAAAATGACTTATCTAGATTTTGATTTTTTTTCCAGTGTATAAACTCTAAAACCAGCCTTATTTCTGTATTTTTATTACCGACTTGGTCCAAATGGTCCCAATTAGCTCAATGACTGTTTGAAGTTTGCTTCAGCTTAAACGATAATAACCGAGCTTCATTGTTTACCTTTGCAGGATGCTTTCGATGCAGTGGGGTACTTCCATTTGGCTCTGGCAGCTGCTCTTGAGGACCGAGCTCATCCCGAAGCGCTTTATGTGGTGTACATGAAGCTGGCGGAGATACACGGCAGCCACATGCCTGATGCTCAGTTATGCCAACTTTATAGAGACAAAGCTCAGAGTCTGCAGAGGGTTTTGGCCGGAGTGGAAAACTCTGCAGACACAAGTCCCAAAATATTAAATGTCGATACGAGTTTGCTTGAAGGACGCTCTTCGGCTGATCTTGAAGACAGGGAAGACACGGAGGATCAGAGTCAGTGCTTTGCAGACACAGACACCATCGTGAGTCAGTCCTATAGCGACAGCGTCATCACAGGGTCCTTCGATACAGCTAAGGAGAACATTTCAGACTCCAGCAGCTCCACCGGCACGTACCAGAATCCCACCGAAGGGAAGGATTCAGAGTTGGACTCTGAGCACAGCATGCCCAGTCAAATCCCTGCAAATCCTAACAGTGAGTTCACGGACGCCAGAGATACAGATACGGACGATCAAGACGAGCAAAACACCCCGACCGAAGAAACAGCTGATCCAATTAAAGCAGACTGTGTGAAGGATTCTGTCTCCATGAACAATGAGAAAGCTGCAAATAAGGATGATGCACAGAGACACGGGGAGGGACTCAGTGATGCACACAACGGGAACGCAGACGTTGACACGTAGCATTCCTCTCTCTAGCCGAAGGTTTTAGAGTAAACTGATCCAAACGTTCCAGCCAACATTGGCCTTTTTTATTTGAGTGTGATGTGGATACTGTAAATCAATCAGAACACACTGGAAACAATCTAAATAAGTCTTTTTTTTTCTTAAAATAAGTGCATTTGTTCTTGAATTGAGAAGGCAAGTGAGACACTTTGCCTTTGGAACAAGTCTTATTTAAATTGCATATAATCCAATTATCTAATTTGAAGAGAAAAAAATACCCATTCCATTTGCAAATCATCTTATTTACCGCCTCAAATTAAGGGTAAAAACACTTAATTTAAGAAATGTTGACTTATTGCTAGATCGTTTTTGCAGTGCATGGCCTGTTTCTCTGATCTAAACTGCAGTTATAACATGTTTTCTACATTGCTGAATAATGTACACATTAAAATAAATCTTATTTTGGTTGCTCAGATTTTATTGTGTGTTTGCAATTATCTTGAAATTTGCTTAAAGAGAAATAATACAACATCTAACGATGGAAATCATAAAGAGAAGAGTTGGAACATTTTTATTTGATCAAAATCTGTTTTATTAAATATTACATTATTCTGTAGCATTCACAAAAATAGAATTAAACAAATAGAAAAACGGATAAAATGATTTAGATACAGCTGAAACTGTACCTAGTGTATGCAAGGTCTATCCCCAACATTTTTTTTCTCATTGACATTAAAGGAAAAGTCTGGTCATATTCAGAATTCAAACTTCTAAAAGTACTTTTAATATAAAATTATTACATACTGTTCAATAAATGATCAGTGTTTTTAATTAAGAGTAATTTTCATTTAAATGTGCTTTACTGGAGGCATCCATGTTTGTCAAAGAACACTACTGCCACCTACTGGGAGGACTTCACCATTGAAATTCACCAGAGCTATAGTGAAACTGACAACACTCACGTTCATGGCAGTTGGATGTTGGAATACTTTGGGTAAAAATAAAAAAAACAAAGAGTTATTCCACCTTTCCAAATCCTGATCCTCCATGGACGGGTTCGTTGTTGGATTGCCAACTTAAAGTCTGGGATCGGCCATTTTTGCCCAAATATTGTAACCTCTCACCGCTGTAATCTTCTGTTTTGTAAGACCATCCTACCTGTAGTCAATACTCATGCGCAGGACATCCGATTTGCATTTATCACTTTAGTTTTATGTGAAAAATAGACTTTAAACTACCTGAGCGGGTGTGTATCCCTTTAGTCTTTTACAAAAAAAAAACTCAAGGTCAGATCACCATACGCTTCAAAATACACCAAAAAGTAAGTAATGAAATAGTTTTTTGTAGATGACAGAAGGGATACACGCACGTTGAGGTACTTTAAAGTGTATGTTTTGTAAAAAATTAAAGGGATAAACGGGTATTGACTATGGGTATGCTCATCTGACAGAACACTGGCATTGACGTCACGGTGCGGTAAGCCTAGCGGCAATAAAAAAAACAAAGAGTTATTCCACCTTTCTGATTCCTGATCCTCCACGGACGGGTTGGTCGTTGGATCGCCAACTTGAAGAGGGAGGATTTGC